GAGACGTGCGGATCCATTTGCAAGCTTTATAAACAGGCATGGGTCAGACAATGGCAAACTGGTATGTAGAAGACAAGGCAAGAGCAGTCCGGTAAACAAGCGAGGGTCAGTCGACGGCGAACGTAATCCAACAGGGCGAGACTAGAGGGATAATCCAGGTACAAGGCAAAGGTCCAGACAGGGGCAAACAGTATCTGAACAGGGAAAGACAAGAGGGGTAATCCGAGATACACAGGCAATAAATCAGGAACCAGGAAAACAGGCAAGGCACGGCAAGACTATGACTAAACTATGAAAACTAGAGCAGGCTCCGTAAAGTAGCTATCAGCTATCACAGTGATAAACGCTAAACAATACTCGGCGTTGAATGGTGGTGTGAGACTGATTTATATAGTGTGTGTTATTGGTAGCAGCTGTGTGTGATTGGTTTCAGGTGAGCTTGTGATTAGTGCAATGGAGCATGGGAAATGTAGTCCGGGATGACATGCAACAGTTTGTGTAATGTGAGAGTCAATATAACGGAAGGGTGACCTCTGGTGGCGATCGAACGGAAGTCCATGGACAGGATTCATGATACTCGCTCTGTCTACGTTATGAAAACTAGCGTAACAAAAACCTACTCTCAAATATTATAACAGAGAAATTCCTAATAGTAATTCCAATAATTCCAAATTGCATTAATGTTTCTCTTTTAAAACAATGGCAAAAAGACTTATTGCTGCACAGAGGTTGCGTAAGTAACGTTAAAATCAGCAAACAATACAGTCGAGATCCATGACAGGACACAGACTGCTGAATAAAACACTTTCATTTAAGCAGAACACCTCAAACAGAGATCGCTGAAGTCCAGCTTACTCATACAGTACTGTATGTCGGTGTTTTCTGTGATTGCATAAAGCAAAGAGCCGAACAGAGTTACGTATGTATCCGTTTAACAGAAAAGCTCTGATTGGGGGATTTGAGCTCTTGATCTCTGGCAACCGCAAACATGAACGCTCGCATAATAGAGTCTTGTACAGCAGTCTGAAATGTTTTGGCTCCGCTTTTTTCAACAAAAATAAAAAGGTTTTGGTACATTTTTTGTTCTTTTAACTACATTTTCTCGTCTTTTTTCTCGTCTGAACACGATATTGCATGTTCAGTTATCGTTTAATTACCTTATTATCGTCTCGTCATCCTCTCGCTTTCGTCAGGGGAAAAAACCTCGTTGACGAACATTTTTCGTCATAGTTTTCGTTAACAAAATGAACAGTTGGTGCGGGGCAACGGAATAAAAACAAACTCTAGAGATGTGTTTTTTAACCCTCTGGGCCACTTTCGATCAAAAATTTTTACATTTAAACATTTTTTTAAATCACAGCTTTATTGGAATGGGATGAAACTTGGTGACTTTTGTCGCATTATCTATGTGAACACACAAAAAAATCATGGACATGATTCGGATGTGTTATAGGGACGAACATAAAAAAGTACCACTTGGTAGCTTCGCAGTCAAAAATGACAATGGAAAAAAATAGCTCATACATTTTTTATAAATATTGCACAGTATCATAAATTCTAAATAATAATAAAAAAATATTATTTAATTAAAATAAATTGCACAAATTGAAAATTGTATAAATATTGCACAGTATCATAAAATCCCCTCAAAATTCTAAATAATAATAAAAAAATATTATTGAATTAAAATAAATTGCACAAATTTTTCTGAAAAAAAAAATTACATTTCAAAGCTTCGATCACTTTTGACTGTGAAGGTACCAAGTGTGGCCCAAAAATGAAGAGGCTCATTAAAAGTTTATCTTCTTTTAACTTGATCGTTGTGTTTTTAGAACACAAAAGACAGAAGATGCGAGTGCAACAGTGAAACATGTCCATCTAGTGCATGTTTGCCTACAAAAACAATAGAAACACGTTCTGTGTGAACAGATTCATATAAACTACTGTTATAAGCGCTGTAGAAATAAAAGTGTGCTTAAAGAGAGACAAGTCTAACCCGAACCCTTAAAGAGAGACTTAAGATCATTTTTCTGACCCCATGGACAGATATTTCTTCTTGTTGTAAGCAAAAACGAACAACATTTTAATAAATATTTCAGAAAACAAGATTTAATATCATAAGTCATTTTGCTTCTCAAGTAAATTTATCTTAATTCAAGAACGTTTAGATATTTGTACTGGAAAACGACAAAAATAGAAAGTAAGAAAATAATTTTTTGCAGTGTGGTGAAACTCGTTAAACAGCGCTGTGCTCTTAAACATCAAAAATATATTTATCGGAGTTGTAAATCAAACAAATATTATGGTAATACGTTTTACAAGAAAATGCTATTTCAGTTTTTCTATTTCAAGTAACGCATTGAAGTAAACATGAAATTTTGAAGTTGAAAAACTGAAATAGTATTTTCTTGTAAAACGGACAAAAAAAACTAGATTAATGTTATAAAATCTCATTTTTCCCCCATGTTTATGAATCTTTTTATTAGTTTCATCACTCTTATTCAAAGACTCAGACTCAGATCTGATCAGGATTATTAATGTTAACAAAAACCAAAACCATAAAAAAAAAAGTATTGAGTATTTCAGAAACAAAAACTCAAAGTACACTGCTGAAAAAAAAAAAAGATTTTCTTTGCCATTATTTCTGTCTTGTATTCCAGTACAAATATCTAAACATCTGGAGATGCAAAATTAATTAATATCTTAAGTCTTGTTTTCTGAAAAATGCATCAGAATTAATCGAGTTTTTGCTTAAAACAAGAACAAGTCAGAAAAATCAACTTCATTCAAAGGAAAAACAAGATAATTTTTCTAATAAGGTATTGGCAGGTATTTGTTCTTGTTTTAAGCAAAAACTCACTGCATTTTACTTCATTTAAATACATATTATATTAACAAATTTTTTAAGGCATTTCCAGTAAGTGTATCTTGATTTATGAATCTTTAGACATTTGTACTGGAAAACAAGACAGAAATATTGAGGAAGAACAGCACCTTTTTGCCGTGTAGAATTAATCTGAGAACCAAAGCCATGCTGCTGCTATCACAATTAATATTAAAAATACATATCCCATCAGAGCTGTTCTTGTTTCTGAAAGCATATGAAAATATAGGATCTCTTCACAACACTTGAGATGAATCTTAGCAAAAATATCCACCATTTCTGAAGTAAACAACTACAAGAGTCATAATTATACCTCAGTGATTGTTTGCTCTGAAAATGACAAGTAAAATGCTCCTGCTTTATATTTCAGTCGTTCTCACTTCTACTCGAGTTAACGACGCCTTCGGCCTGTCGAATGAGCTTAATTCATCAATTATGCAACTAATTCAGTTTTATCTGTAAAGCAGCTCTACGGAAGACAATAGAGTCATTATTCAGCTCAAGTTTTGCTCTCATCTAATAGTGTCAGTGCAGTTTAATCAATAATATTACTGAATATTAAATATCTTTTGAACATCTGTACATTTTTCATTTTATTTACTTTTTTTTACATTATTTACATTATTTCTGAATGCAATAACAAAAGCTTACTTACACACCAATGCAACTTACAGTAAATGTGTTTTTCTCTCTCTCTCTCTCTCAAAAATGCAATTTTGACCCGATGCAACTTATTTTGAGTTTTTTTTATTTTTTTTTATTTTTGTTTGTTTTGTTTTGTTGTATTTTTATTTTAATTACCGTACATTATTTAATTTATTTCTGAATGCAATAACAAAATGTAACTTATGCACTTACTAAAAGTCATAATTGTGAGATAAAAACTTTGAATTCTTGCAATTCAGTTTTTTTCAGCCACAGAATAATGATAATTTAAAAAAGGTAATTGTGACTGTTTATCACAAAAAAAAATATTTTTCAAAAATGCAAGTTTGTTTTTCTCTCTCTCTCTCTCTCTCTCAAAAATGAAATTTTGACCCGGTGCAACTTTTTTAAATTTACATTTACATTATTTCTGAATGCAATAACAAAATATGACTTAAACACTAATGCAACTTTCTGTCAAAAATGTTATTTTAACCTATTGGAACTTATTTTCCCTTTTTTTTATGTTACTTTTTATTGAAATTTTTATATTATTTCTGAAAGTTTTTTGACATATTTCCTGGAAAATGTGGTACTGGGAAAAAAAACTATTTAAAAACTATTACAACACAAAAAGGCTGAACAATCCAATAACGCTGGTGCTCTCGGGCCAAAGATGATCTTGATTCAATAGAATTTATTCTGGTGGGGACTTAAACCTGACTACACACAGACTCATGGGGACTCGTGTCACGGTGGGGACCTAAATTGTGGTCCCCACGGGTACAAAAGCTTATAAATCATACAGAATGAAGTTTTTTGAAAATCTAAAAATGCAGAAAGTTTCCTGTGAGGGGTAGGTTTAGGGGTAGGGTTGGTGTAGGGCAATAGAATATACGGTCTGTACAGTATAAAAACCATTACGCCTATGGAGAGTCCCCACAAGGATAGCTGACCAGACAGAGTGTGTGTGTGTGAATTGAAATACATGTTGGGGGTGAATGTCAGAACGGAGAAGAACTTTTCAATAAGTTTTAAATCAGAGCAGATGGCGAGTACCAACATCTCAGTCTCTTTTATCTCCGCTCAAGACTCTCAAACCGACACCGGAGGCCAAAAGAACAAAGCGCTGCACCTCTGCCCACCAAAGACGCGCAATCGCCTCATTACGCTAATTAAGAGCTCAGCGCTTTAGAGGACATTCAGAACATTCAGAAATGACAAGAAAATAATAGTAAAGCTGAAGCGGCCTCAGGAGTCGTTCTGATGAAGCCTTTCAGGTCGTGAGCGCCTTAACATCTGAATCAGCAAGAGTTCAGTGATTTGAAGCACATTTCAGTTTGAAAGTTTTGATGTGGAAGAGTTGCTGTGGAGAAAAAGCAAAGGAAAAGCATGGTCAGATGTTATTCTAACACAGTAGATGTGTCCAGTTGGATCTAGATTATGAAAGGCAATGAAATGAGCTGCCGATGTGAATCTGAGCGCCGCCGGTGGAGACTCACGGGTGGGATATTGCATCATGACATGTTTCTCATTAAGCGTGTTTAAGTGGATGGTTTTGGCAGGTCGCTAAACTCGTGCAGCTGCTGCATCATATTCCGGGATCAAAAACAACTGGATGTTCAGTGAAGTGCAATGATTCTTTTCTGATGGATCATGGATCAGCTCTGCAGGGCTTTACATCACGTGCTTCAATGCAAAGCACAGCATTAAGATGAAGATGAAAAACGATTACTATTCAGCAATATCATCGATTAAACTGCACTGACACTATCAGATAAGAACAAAACTTGATCTGAATAATGACTAGAGCTGCTTTTCTACTACGGAATAAAAATGTCAGAACTGCGAGATAAAAACTCACTCTATTATGAAATACATTATCTTACAATTCTGAGAAAAGTCTGACTTTCTTTCTTGCAATTCCAAGTTAACATTTACATTTATTCATTTAGCAGATGCATTTATCCAAAGTGACTTACAAATGAGGAATACAACACGCAATTCATCAAGTTACATCTCGCTATTCACCACGGATTAAAAATAAAATGAAAACAAAATAGATAGATAGATAGATGGATGGATGGATGGATGGATGGATGGATGGATGGATGGATGGATGGATGGATGGATGGATGGATGGATGGATGGATGGATGGATGGATGGATGGATGGATGAGATATATAGATAGATAGATAGATAGATAGATAGATAGATAGATAGATAGTTTTTACAGCTGAAATTGAAGTCGTTTCATAATTTTTCAACACTGTTATTTTCCTGTTTATCTCTGTGAAGCTGTTTTGAATCAATCTGTATCAATGAAAAGTGCTGTAGAAATAATGCTGTAGAGTTTGAAGTGATTTCTGTAACGTGTGTGTTTTTCAGAACTGTGGTTATGGCTATAAGGATGAGGACTACAGCTGCGTGGCCTGTCCGGCCGGGAAATTCTCCAAAGGCAAGTACGAGATCTGCCGTCGCCACAAAGACTGCGACTCGCTGTACCGTGCCACCGTCCTGACGCCGGGGACTCTGGAGAGCGACGCCGAGTGCGGACCGTGTTTACCGGGGTAAGAAAACACTGCAGCAACACAACGTTCAGAGCTCACAATGCAGAAGCTCACAGAAACAGCAAGAGACGAGAGTTTATAATGTTTGCAGATTCCTTGTTGCAGCGCAAACTGGTTTTTGTCTTGTGTTTTAATGCGTTATACTTTCTAAAAGTGTAATAAACAATGAATAGATAAGTATTATAATGTATTATAACTGTAGTTACAGTTATTTATGAGATCATGCAATGCATTATGATGTGCACTACAAGGCATAATTCATGCATTAAAATATGTTTATATTGCATTATATATTGTATTATATTAGCATTATTATATTATATATTAGCATTATTATTATAGCATTACTGAATTATCACCGAATTATCACAAAGCTCAAGTTCTGCACACGCACACACACACCACTCTCACACGCACACACACAC